AACATGGATAGAGGAGGTATGTGGGATGATGCCACAAAAACAATTGCTGCTAATTCCATTGTTTTTTCAAGTTACAGACCTAGTCTCGTTACTTTTGTGTCACACCTCGTATGTTGTAGCTTTTTAAAAATCATTTGACACGTATTTTTTTATATCTGCGGACATCCATGTTGAGCGGGTGAAAATAGCCCTCAAAGTTGGGGTTGAAAACACATTTTCTTTAATATCTCGGAAACTAGAGGGTGTAGGAAGGTGAATTTTTTTTTAAATTGTGTAGTTTTTAATCAGGAACTTAGTTAGTGACAAATATTTCGGGAGAAATTATTTATTTAAATAATATATTAAAAAATTGGACTTTTTTTTCAATTTTTCACCCTAAATGCAGTTCGACTTTTTTGTAGATTTATATTCGAAAAATATGCATCGAAATAGGGGATACGTGTTTTTGAAATTTTTTGTTTATTTTGTTTAGCAATAATTATTATATATACAATTTTCTCCTACTTTTTACGGAGAAATGATTTGAGATTTGTTTTCGAAGAGGGTGAGCCCTTTTTATACGATAATTTGTCACGTTTTTAACAATTAGACAATATCAAATGTTTATTGTTCCATCGGTAGCCACGAAAGGTCCAGCGGGCAGGTATAAATCCATCGCGGTACCAATCGTCGCTATACAGAACATAGATTTCTATCGGCAATGAAACTTTTAGCCGAACGTACAAGTTTATTTATTTGACTTTTAATAATTTGGACGGAAATGTTCCTCGTTTAGATGATTCGGTATCTCTGAAAAGAGTTGGAGATTTGAGCAGTGCGCTGCTGTTCTTTCTTGGTTTTTTATACGTTGCTAAAGTGGAAGTGGGAAATTTCAGAAATTTGTATTGGTCGTCGTAATCCGAACAAGGGTAAGTAAATTATTTCAAAATATACTGTTGCAGGAAAGTGTGTATAAATAAGTATATGGCAATTGCATTATTGTTTTCCTTTTTGAACATTTGTAAAATTTATTTTTTATAAGTGTGAATGTTAATCCCATTAATGTTATTAACATTTTAATGAAAATATTTAACTCTAATAAGCAGGAAGCACACATAAATCGAAACAAAGTTAAACTGGATCAAAACATAATAGATGCAATTCATATGTATAAAGAATGGGCATATACAGATATATAAATGCAGTAAGAGATTATATTTAATGACTGGACGTATGTCTAAATCTTGCCAATTTTTGCGAATTAAGAGGAAATAGAACAAGCTTCTCCTTAAGAACCTGCCAATATATTTTTGTTCCGTGTGAACCAGAAAATACTGTTTTGCTTCTTGATTCATGGAAAAGATATACCGAGAACAAGTTATGTCGATCCTAGGTCAGAAACAGTGTAAGAAACAGGAAATGTTAAAAATACCAAAAAATACCCTACCGTTTGTTCAACTATTTGACGTCGATAGGTTTCGAAGTTAAAAAAATTTTGTTCGAAAAGTTTCTAATCCTTTAGTTTTATTGAATTTAGATACAAGTTTACTCACAAAAGACAATGTAATACAAATTGATAAAGCTAAAGTTGAATGCTTGCTTCTGGAGATTATGCTATATAGTGTGCACAATAATCAAATTCAAT